TATACTACAGGTACTGGTGGGTTTGTTAGGACAATATACTACTGGTACTGGTGGGTTTGTTAAGACAATATACTACAGGTACTGTTGGGTTTGTTAGGACAATATACTACTGGTATTGGTGGATCTGTTACGACAATATACTACTGGTACTGGTGGATTTGTTAGGACAACATACTAATGGTGGGTTTGTTAGGACAATATACTACTGATACTGGTCGGTTTGTTAAAACAATATACAACTGTTCGGTGGGTTTGTTAGGACAATATGCTACTGGTATTGGTTGGGATTGTTAGGAAGATATAATACTGGTACAGGTGGGTTTTTTTAGGACAACTTGCTACTGGTATTGGTGGGTTTGTCATTACAATATACTACTGGTACTGGTGGAATGGTTAGGACAATGTACTACTATTACTGGTGAGTTTGTTAGGACAATGTACTACAGTTACTGGTGGGTTGTTAGGACAACATGCTACTGGTAATGGTGGGTTTGTCAGGACAATAAATTACTGGTGGGGTTTGTTAGGACAATGTGCTACTGGTACTGGTGGGTTTGTTATGACAATATACTACTGGTGCTGGTGTGTTTGTTAGGACAATGTACTACAGGTACTGGTGGATTTGTTAGGACAACATGCTCCTGGTAATGATGGGTTTGTCAGTATAATATACTAGTGGTACTGGTGGGTTTGTTAGGACAATGTACTACAGGTACTGGTGGGTTTGTTAGGACAATGTGCTGCTGTTACTGCTGGGTTTGTTAGGACAATATACCACTGGTAATGATGGGTTTGTCAGGACAATATACTACTGGTACTGTTGGATTTGTTAGGACAATATGCTACTGGTAGTGGTGGAATGGTTAGGACAATGTACTACTATTACTGGTGAGTTTGTTAGGACAATATACCACTGGTACTGGTGGGTGTGTTAGGACAATATACTACTGGTACTGGTGGGTTTGTTAGGAGAACATGCTACTGGTACTGGTGGGTTTTTGAGGACAATATACCACTAGTACTGGTGGGTTTGTTAGGACAATATACTACTGGTATTGGTTTGGTTTGTTGAGACAATATACTACAGGGACTGGTGGGTATGTTAGGACAATATACTACCGGTGTGGTTGTTAGGACAATGCACTACTGATGGGATAGTTAGGATAATATACTACTGGTATTGGTTGGGTTTGTTAGGACAATATGCTACTGGTACTGGTGGGTATGTTAAGACAATATACTACCGGTAGGGTTTGTTAGGAAAAAGTACTAATGGTGGGATTGTTAGAACATTATGCTACTGGTACTGGTTGGGTTTGCTAAAACAAAATACTGCTAGTATTGGTAGGTTTGTTAGGACAATGTACTACTAGTGGGTTTGTTAGGACAATATACTATTGGTACTGGTGGGTTTGCTAGGACAATATACTACTGGTGATTTTGTTAGGACAATATATTACTGGTACTGGTGGGTTTGTTAGTACAATTTGCTACTGGTAATGGTGGATTTGTTAGGACAATATACCACTGGTACTGGTGGGTTTGTTAGGACAATATACTTCTTGTGGGTTTGTTAGAACAATATACCATTGGTACTGGTGGGTTTGTTAGGACAATATACCACTGGAACTGGTGTTTTTGTTGGGACAATATACTACTGGTGGGGTTTATTAGGACAATATACTATTGGTTGGATTGTTAGGACAATACACCACTGGTACTGGTGTTTTTGTTGGGACAATATACTACTGGTGGGGTTTATTAGGACAATATACTACTTGTACGGGTGGGTTTGTTAGGACAATATACCACAGGTACCGGTGGATTTGTTAGGACAATTTACCACTGGTACTGGTGGATTTGTTAGGACAATATGCTACTGGTACTTGTGGGTTTTTTAGGACAATATACTACTCGTACTGGTGGGTTTATTAGGACAATATACCATTGGTACTGGTGGGTTTATTAGGACAATATACCACTGGTACCGGTGGGTTTCTTAGGACAACATGCTACTGGTGCTGGTGGGTTTGTCAGGACAATATACTACTGGTACTGGTGGGTTTGTCAGGACAATATACTACTGGTACTGGTGGGTTTGTTAGGACAATTTACTACAAGTACTGGTGGATTTGTTAGGACAATATGCTACTGGTGGGGTTTGTTAGGACAATATGCTTCTGGTACTGATGGGTATGTTAGGACAATATACCACTGATACCGGTGGGTTTCTTAGGAGAACATGCTACTGGTACTGGTGGGTTTATTAGGACAATATACCACTGGTACTGGTGGGTTTGTTAAGACGATATACGACAGGTGCTGCTGGGTTTGTTAGGACAATATACTACTGGTACTGGTGGGTATGTTAGGACAATATACTACCGGTGGGGTTTTTAGGACAATGTACTACTGGTACTTGTTGGGTTTGTTAAAACAATATACCACTGGTACTGGTGTTTTTTTAGGACAATATATCACTGGTACTGGTGGGTTTGTTAGGACAATTTACTACTGGTATTGGTTGGGTTTGTTAGGACAATATATTACTGGTACTGGTGGGTTTGTTAGGACAATACATCATTGGTACTGATGGGTTTCTTAGGACAACATGGTACTGGTAATGATGGGTTTGTCAGGACAATATACTAATGGTACTGGTGGGTTTGTTAGGACAATATACTACTGGTACTGGTTGGTTTGTTAGGAGAATATACTACTGGTACCGGTGGGTTTGTTAGGACAATATACCACAGGTACTGGTGGATTTGTTAGGACAATATGCTACTGGTACTTGTGGGTTTTTTAGGACAATAAACTACTCGTACTGGTGGGTTTATTTGGACAATATACCATTGGCACTGGTAGGTTTGTTAGGACAATATACCACTGGTACAGGTGGGTTTCTTAGGACAACATGCTACTTGTGCTGGTGGGTTTGGCAGGACAATATACTACTGGTACTGGTGGGTTTGTCAGGACAATATACTGCTGGTACTGGTGGGTTTGTTAGGACAATTTACTACAAGTACTGGTGGATTTGTTAGGACAATATGCTACTGGTGGGGTTTGTTAGGACAATATGCTTCTGGTACTGATGGGTATGTTAGGACAATATACCACTGATACCGGTGGGTTTCTTAGGAGAACATGCTACTTGTACTGGTGGGTTTATTAGGACAATATACTACTGGTACTGGTGGGTTTGTTAGGACGATATACGACAGGTGCTGCTGGGTTTGTTAGGACAATATACTACTGGTACTGGTGGGTTTGTTAGAACAATATACTACCGTTCTGTGGGTTTGTTAGGACAATATAGTACCGGTACTGGTGGGTTTATTAGGACAATATACTACTGGTACTGGTGGATTTGTTAGGACAATATACTACTGGTACTGGTGGGTTTGTTAGGACAATATACTACTGGTACTGGTGGGTTTGTTAGAACAATATACTACTGGTACTGGTGGGTATGTTAGGGCAATATACTACTGGTACTGGTGGGTTTGTTAGGACAATGTACTACTGGTACTGGCGGGTTTGTTAGGACAATATACCACAGGTACTGGTGGATTTGTTAGGACAATATGCTACTGGTACTGGTGGGTTTGTTAGGACAACATGCTACTGATAATGGTGGGTTTTTTAGGACAATATACAACTCGTACTGGTGGGTTTGTTAGGACAATATACCATTGGTACTGGTGGGTTTGTTAGAACAATATACCACTGGTACTTGTGGGTTTGTTAGGCCAATATACCACTGGTACTGGTGGGTTTGTTAGGCCAATATACCACTGGTACTGGTGGGTTTGTTAGGACAATATAATACTGGTACTGGTAAAGGATAATTTAGTACTTGTAGATTTTTGGAGACAAAGGTGTCCTTGTTTACTGGGGAAAGTAATTAAAACCTTCTCTTGGCTACGGGGATGCTTTCTAATGCTATTAGTAGGATAAAAGGTACCAAGTATGACTGTATTTTGGTGTCAATACGAAGGTTTCTGTTTGTACTACCAAATAATGGACAACGGACTAGATATCTACATTTCTCTACTAGGAACTTGTAGATATTCCTATTCATATATGTGTATTTAGGAGAAAATCTCAAATAGCACTGGAACTGTTAGGGAGATGGAGGCAACTTCTACTTATAATATTGTGGTTGTGGGAACATTTTCAAATAAAACTAAACTAATGGAAAACTTGAGATAACTTCTACTCGTCCTCTGATCTCAAACACGATAATATCTACCGATACAACATATATAATCACTGTAAGATACCGTGTAAAAGTTTCTTTGGCCCTTTCAAGTACTATAATGGTTTTGTGTTCGCTTTCTCTACAGACAGGTACGATTGCGAAGACATTTGGTTGGTTTGGTCGAAAACGGTTGGGAGAGCTTGTCTTTAGCAAATTCTCACATCAAGATAATTTAGTGAAAAAAAGTCACTTGGTTTCCTCTAAATATTGCACGTTTACCATCAAATGAACTACATGTAACCACACAACATTTTTAATCGCTTAATGTTTTTAACACGTTTACAATTTTGTAAAATATCGGGTAATTTCAGCCACGGTTTTTTAGGTATGCCTTCAATAACAAGTACATACTCTTACAACTAAAACGGTATCCTTAAGGTTATAGAAACTTTCTCTTGAATTACATACTGTTATACCTTAATTCACAACTTGTTTAAATAATCCATTCGCAATCTGTTCCAAAATAGTAATGTTGAATGTGTTACATGATCCATTATTAATTTATTTGAATACAATTTGACTCTTAACTTGTTTGAATATTTCAACTGCAAGATTTTTGTAAACCTGTCATTCGCATTTATCGTTTTACATCAACAAATAATCGGAAGGCACACAAACATTGATAGTATTATCGCTGTAAAATGCCGAATTTCTACTACTACTACAACTACACTGGTGATAATATATGAACAGAAATAGTATTTAACGAGTACTGGCGTTTCAGTATACATACCTGCTAGTACAAATAAAATTCCACAGACAAAGGTAAGGTTTTTTCTTCCTGAATTGCAATGACCAACGAAACATATAATAGTTCCTATCAATAGAATAAGGAGACTTGCTAGTGGAAACCATGTGGATCTTCTCATCGTTACTGTAAATAAAGTGAAAGGTGGATTAATGACACATTGGTATCTTACATCTCTGAAATCTTTTTCGTCTTTATTCAGTGAACCAGTCAAACAGATCGAACACATTTTAGATCTAGGACAAACTAGGAGCGAGTCAAATAGGAAATGATACTAATGACACGTACAGAATTATAGAACATATTGGAAGGTTTATTCATGTTTTAAGTAGATTTCAAAGTACACTAACGAGGAAACACAAGTAACTACGTCACCAAATAGTCATTGTTGTGCACATTTAATCAAATATTTTCGAAATTTAAACATGAATTCAGGGTTTACATTCGATCCTGATGTTGATCCACTCAGGTCTCTAAACGACAGTCACAAACATAAACACCGAGAACACATATCCTTAGGATTGTCTGTCGATTTACAGTGTGAGATTTTTCTGGACATTTAAAATAGTTTATATAATCTTCAAAAACAAGACTTGTGTTGTTCCTGAAACAATAATTTGTTATCATTCTATGTGATGACGTCATCAATATAATTGGCTACGTACACAGTATAGCGTCTGTCTGAGGCAATCCATCCCTGTCGTCATTCATTGTAAAATACCGGATGTACTCACAGTTCATGTGGTTAATCGGCTTACCTGCAAAAAGATAAAAACAGTTATTGTTTTGAAATATCACCATGTTCATATATGCTGTATTTTGGCGACCAAAGTGGTGAGCATTTGACGAGCAAAATGTAGCTTATATTTTAAGTCTTTGAGCATGTATTTTATTCATCCTGCATCACTAATTGAAAATTCAGACTGTCCAAAATTCACCGGTTTGTTAGGTCTGTTTTACATCTCGTATTGAAACTGTGATATGTATGGGTTTACCAATAAACCCTGGTTTATACACACACACAAAAGGAAGAAAAACGTTTAGAAGGCGTATCATAGGTTTACGAAATCTAAGAATTTAAAGAAAGTGAGTAAAGAGTATAGAAAAGAAGTAAATAGATCCTTCTGAGATTATCAAGGGAATACTGCGAAAGAGCTTCGAAAATTTCCAACGTGTGACGATAAAGCATTCAGGGAGGATAGTCAATAAAGTAGAAAAAATATCAAGCGTATATAACAGCTGTACAACTATTTTAAACATCTTAGTACTAATGGGTCACAGGATAATGATGAGTTTGTTACACCAGGTTTTAATAACCATGAGGTATATGGTGGTGCGCTAAATTGTGAAATTAAGGATTAAAAAGTTGTGAAAGGGTAATGAATAAACTACGTTATAAATAATCACGTGGCATAGAATTATGGATGAATATAATAAAAACTTACCACTTGTAAATTTTTTCCTTTTTATATAAAGTTTCTTAACATTATACTAGATACTGGTATTGTACCAGATTCTCTTTATATATAAAGTTTACATTACATTAGATACTGGTATTGTACCAGATTCTCTTTATATATAAAGTTTACATTACATTAGATACTGGTATTGTACCAGATTCTCTTTATATATAAAGTTTACATTACACTAGATACTGGTATTGTACCAGATTCTCTTTATATATAAAGTTTACATTACACTAGATACTGGTATTGTACCAGATTCTCTTTATATATAAAGTTATAATCTTTATCATAGTAAAAAGAAAGAGTGTTAAGATTGGTCAGGGGATGTCTGGCATGCTCCTTTGTAATATGGTTTTAAAACAAGGCGAAAGGCGAGAAGTTATTGCCTTTTTTATATTCACTGTACCTTAATAACTAAGAAACATTTATAGGCGATAATAGTAAACTGGCTGTCCTATGAATTGAGTCAGGAGTACATGGTACTTTGAAGTTATTCATTGTACACTGTATGCAGACAACAATATTTAAATTATTTAAAAATTATGTAAATGAGATAACCATAACGACCAAAAATAGATATATTTTGTGCAAATAAATAAATTCAAATTTGTAGCTTCCTGTTGAAACAGGTACATGTTTTTAATGATAACAGAGAAGATAGGATATATTCATTTTGTAGAAATTGTAGTAGAGACGAATATCATTATTTATTTGGGTGTGAAAATCTCGAGATACGAATAAATAGGAGAAAATTAAAACTAAATTTCTATAAATTGCATCCTGAAAGGAGTTAATTCAAAGGATTGTTAACTGTATGTTTGGTACACAGACTCACTTGGCTAATTATTGTTATCAGTTATCTGGAGAAGGTGTCCAAGACAACATGGCTTTGTGAAATGTTTCAATGAGCATCTCGCCTGGTTTTGGAGAATTAAGCTCTCTAGTGATACTATATTTTATATCTTTATTAATGTATATGTAACATTCCGCCATGATCTCAACAAAACTGTTTGCTATTGTGACCTCTTGTTTCACAATTTAGTGTCCGGGTGCAAATAAAAAGAATTCTTGAATCTTGATAAATGAAACGGCATAGTCATCACAAGTTCGCACGTACACGTGCCTTTATGGTTGTTCCTAACAATATCAATTTTATTTATCTGTTTATGTCTCACCTATCCACGTAATAATCATAACATACCACGAGGAAGTAGAGAATTACTCTCTTATTGGTTATGCAAGGCTTTAGCACAATCAACCATTCTGTATACCTCTAACTTATCAAAGCATATTATGACGCAAACGCTCTGATGATTTTGATTTATAAACCGCCAGTAGGACTTGTAACAGTTTTTTCCATACCGTAAATCGATAAGACAAAACACATAAAATTTCAATTTATTTCTGTAGGCGACATTTGTTGATTCTCTCGGCCAGTTCTATATCTCAGCATAGTTCATGGCTATAGTCTTAATATGAATATCGTTATCTTATCACAACAGTTTCCAACCGAACAGGCACAAAACCAAATATAAACATTGAAAAACATTTCGGCATAATTACCAAATACATATTTCTAACAGCAAATAAATCGACTAAAACTAGGTATCACAACTAATACCTCTATAAATGCCTTGGCTTTTATGCATTTTTCATCGTTTTAAATCCTTTTCTCCTTTGACAAGATGGCTTTGAAAAAACATTACTGTTCAATCGTGCTTCTATCGCAACAGGTGGGTGTTATTCAATTCTCACAAGGCGTCATTTCAAATGTTGTGCAAACCAAAAAATAAACCTCAGTTGGATTTAACACTAAACGCTTTTTGGTTGGCTAATACGGTGAACCGTGACCTGGAGGACGCTTCACACAGTAACGGAAATTAAAACACCTAAAAATTTAGTTCGCGATTGTTGTAATAATTTGATTTTAAAAGTGTTCTATGAACCTCATCAATTAGCTGGTATAGCTTATAACGATCCACATGTTTCTGAAATCGTCAGTTTTACGTGTGGATTCGCGGTATTTTACTACAAGTGATAGCAATAAGGCCCAACTATTATTGTGAACAAAGCACATGTGGGTTCTTTTATTGAAGTAGAAACAGACCATACATACTTGTCGTTGTTGTGTATGGTAATTCCTTCGCTTAGTTATTTTTCAGAAGTCATAAAAAAAACCTCGATAAAGTATGTCTTTATTTCTTTTGAACAAAACCAGCAACCGGTCCTCCTTCAGCTTTGAATATTAATATTATTATAACAAGATACCTTCACAATAAGTAATTATAACTTATTGTAATAGGTTACCTTGGGATGTAAAACTAAGACAAAATACTCAGAAGCAATACTTAAGTACAATGTGTAACATTTAGGAAACCAAACACGGAAATGGGTTTGTGTTACCAACATTAACAAAGAACCCAATATAGACACTGTACATATACGTGATTTACAGAACATCGTTAATGTAATCTGGTGACCAGCGAAAATGGTCTCTTCATTGGAAAATCGTTTTACTAAGGATAACAGTCATCTCGAATGCGTGAATATGCAGTATCCTTATTGTACATACAATACCAAATGTAATTTGATATGTTTTGTTGTAACAGGCATATCGATCCAGTAGTACAGTGTATGGATACAGTAAAACATTGAAACATTATTGAAGGGTAACGCGCATCCTCGACTCAGCGTGAACCCGGGAAGTTTATCCAAACGTATTGCGAATTGTCGATTTAGTCGTTGGGAAAATGGAACCTTTCTGTGCCGTGCAAATACTTAAAACGTCCTGCAAAAACATTAGTCCAAAATAAGTGTTAAAACGCATTGTAAAATTATATCTTTCTATTAGGCTCTGGTTCAAGGTAAGTTTTTAACTTTTAATCGTCGGTGATGGTTTCAAATATTTCTTGGAAGAAAATACGGATAGAGAGACACAGAGAGACAGAGACAGAGAGAGAGAGACTACTACTTTACTATGAAACCTAAATGCAAAATTGTTTCTTCCACACAGCATATCAAAACGTTCAGCAAGGTTATTCTTGCAATCGAACAGTGTATGTGTCTCAAGTTTTATCGCACTCTGGTATAATTGTATATAAACTATATAAATAGCTGGAGTCTCCTAAAGAAGTAGAATACAGGGAACTGCGTTCACTACAGGGAAAACGGTAATACAAGTAATGTTGTTATTTAAATCGAATCAGTATTATGGTATTTTAACAAGGACATTAGACGAGTGGTATTAATGACATTCCCTTTAGCTGCATCAGTGCGAGGAGACACGATTCGCCTTGTATATATAAGTTGGCTGGCTGGCTAGATAGACAGGAAACGTCGTGATCGCTGACCATCAATAAGGCTATGAATATTGGTGAGGTCATTACGCGAGATGCCTGGCCAATACGTACCTATGTAGACCGTGCTTTATATCTCCTTACAGACAAATACTGAGGACATTAACTGCCAACAATTCTCTTCAGACAAGCAAAACATACGGATGCATTATAAAAGTAGTGTTTCCTCTCCCTACTTGTCTCCCCTGGGTTAGCGTGAGGCCTGCACTATCTTCAATTACCTTTCTCGGGAGGCATATTGACCCCAAACTACCTAGGAGTTGTTTGTCAGAATTACGGCTGCCAGTCCTGTTACAGTGTAGTTAATACTTCCATCAATCCGTCCTAGATGAAGCGTGAGCGAGCAAGATTCCCTCTTGATTTACTATGATTTTCTTAAATGAAACTGAGTGCTTCAAAGATAAAATGATGCTTCGCGAGCGAGATGACATTGTGTAGTGGAGTAGGTGAATTGATCGTGCCTACTCTCCACTAGAGCGTCCGTTTTCTCCCGGTTTTACCATACATGGCACGAACTCTCGGCAACGTGACATGTGTTTCTAACCCAAATATGTCTTTTAAAACCGGCATGTTACATGCTACACCTAGTCACGCAGCAGTTTCTGACGTCATCATCATTAACGACAACTCCATGTTAACGAGGACAGAGGGAGTCGTTGGTTCGAGGGAGCCGTGACAGGCGAGATGTGATGAGGCTGTAAAGTTGTTCCTGTTGTAGGCAGCACTACTGTGCCCACGACCAAATGTCTTCGCACTGGTCCCCTAGGTCTGAACCTACCGTAAATTTTATACTTATTGATTCCTGCAAACAATACGGGAGCCCTATTTACTCCAAAACTCTGACAACTGAATCCGAATATTTTGTAGGTAAAGAGGAACGTGTCCCCATTTGGAAATATTTAGTCTGCATTGTGTCCCATTCATAATATATGGATT